TGATGAAAAGCTAGAAATACTTGTGTCAATATTCGATTGTCCAAATGTGATAGTTAAAAAAACCTAGATTGATAAACCGTATTCGTAATCTGTTCATATCTATCAACAATTTTTTTGAGAAAAATATTCGAGGAAAAACTTCGTTAACAATGATTCGAAAATCTTAGAAAAAGTTATTATAGTAAGTCTCGGTCAGTGTTTATCCTTATTTTAGTGCAACCAAAATATTTTCTTCAATTATTTTAAACTTTGCATTATTTTTTTTCCGGCTAAACTTTGCAAAGATACTAGATATGTAGAACATTAGATTTTCTATTCATTCGTACGAAATACCACATATTTAGGAATAAAATTTAAAGCAATACAAACTTACATAAGCGGATAGATGTTCAGTGATAACTATCCGGTAGTTTTTTCATTTTTTTGATGATAAGAGAAACGTATCTAAAAAACATAGTCAAGGTTTTTACAGAATTCAGAATGATTCGTCTGTGGAATACGGAATGAAAAGTCTGTAGTGTATTTCTAGTCTCCAAAAATGAAAATAAAAGTGCCTCAATCTTTCATAAGTCCTCTATCACATATTGAAATCACATTCGCTCTTCCTATGTATAGTTCAGAATGTTGAGATAGGGATCAAATAATGCAAAATCATGAATATTCATTTGTAACTTTCTTGAGATATTTTCTTGAAGCTGAAACTCGAAAATTTCATTTAATATAAAAGACCATAATGGTGCACAAATATTTTATGACCAATATTTTAGCAAGATATTTCGTTGATATTCATGGTATCAAAATGGTTTTCGGCATCAGAGATCATGTTGCTTCTCCTTCATGAATTGGCAAATGAGGACGAAGTTTCGAAGCGAAGAAAGTTTTTACTAGAGAGAAGACGGAGTGGAGAGTGGAAAATTCTCTCTATTCAGACCTCTGGTCTGCAACAAGTTTCGAACGTTCTCAATCTTAGTAAGATTGAGGCATCCTCCTTTTTTTGTAATCTATCCTTTTTTACTGTATGTATGATTAGTTGTAATAGATCGATTCTGACAAATGTTCAAGACTAGAACTAACAATAATAAAATAGGTTTTTTTTCTTTATTGAGAATTAATTCATGATCGTTTTTTTTTGATACATTGTACTCCAATATCTAGAAATAATAATATTCATACATTTCTTTAATCACAATACAATGAACTATCATGAAATATAAAACATTTTGATCAGATAAACCGGTTTGTCTTTAGATTTTTTTCGTTAATAAAATAGTATAGTTTATCGATTGATTTATATGTATTAAAATTGAAAAAGTTTGTTATCAAAGTGACCTGTGTGAAAACAAATTTTATTTTATTTGGAAGTTGAATATGAATAACATAAGTTGATTTGTATGTAGGAACATATAATATAAAAGTCGTCAAATAATTTGTACACTTTCATTAATATAGAGTGAGATTTTTATTTGAATTGTTAATTAAAACAACAGGTGACGAATTACAGCTGATGAGATTCTATATGGTAATGTATGAGTGAACACTTATCAGAGCAAGATTGTTTCGTGTTATTTTTGGAACCAAACCGATATAATATTTGATGCTTATATGTTTTTATAACTTCAAACAAAATGACTTACGAGCGAGGGGCACCAACTGATCAATCGCTTTTGAGTTGAGACTATGTGCATTATGTTGGTATAAATGAGCTATGAGCACCGTGAAAAACGTTCGGGCCGCTTGCTCATTTTTACGGAGATACTGCACTTTTACAGTGTGCTTTTAAATGAATGCTGTGGTCCCCTCAGGAACATCAGAAAAAATAATTTTCGAATTTCGACCTGAAACTTTACACCGAAAAAGATCTTACTGAGCATAGTATTTTCTGAAGATTTCAGATGTTTTGATTTATTCCTATTCTGAAACGAGAACATTAAATCTTCTGGTGTATTCGAATGAAGTTATCATAGTTGCAACTAGGGTTAGAAACAGCAAAAAGGTCTGGAAATTTCACAAAATACTATTCTCCGTAAGATCTGTTTTGTGTAAAGTTTCAGGTCGAAATTCGAAAATAATTTGTTCTGATGTTCCTGAGGGGAACCACAGCATTCATTTAAAAGCACACCGTAAAAGTGCAGTATCTTCATAAAAATGAGCAAGCGGCCCGAACTTTTTTCACTGTGTTCATAGCTCATTTATACCAACATAATGCACATAGTCTCAACACAAAAGTGATTAATCAGTTGGTGCCCCTTCCTCGTTAGTCTTATCAACTTTAAGAACATTTTTTCTCATTAAAATCACAGTTTCAATACTGTCATTATAAATATTACCAAAACTGTCATATATATTCGATCGATATCTAAATCATTAGCTATCAATTGTAGAATATCTGAGCCAACGTCAATACATACGTTTATTTATAATATTGATTCATTTGATATTCTGATCAAGTATTAAAAAAAAGAAACGAAACACGACATATATGACGCGATTATATTTTTTTTCATATATGCATATATTTTCTAAACAAAACAAAATTAGAAATGGAATGTTTTTCGTTT